AGAATAGGRGGCTTATCTCTTTTGGACCACTAGCAACTTTCTGCTGTAAGATGACTCAATTGCATCACAGGGAAGTTGACGTGTCTGAGCATTTGCAGTGGTTTTTGTGCACAGCTATCTTTACAATGGTGAAATGTATGCATACATGCATGTATGTAGAAGGGTTGATGACGCTCTAGAAGATACTCGGGTTACAGTTGAGTATTTATATTATTCTATGCATAAGCAGCTTTAAATGTTGAGACTACCTTTCAAAGTAGAGTGTACATACTAAGCTAGATTTAATTTTGACCGTGAAGGTTATCTAAAAAGGATATTTTATAAATTTTTTTTTGTCTTTTGGGTGAGTTTTTGCTTAAGATTTCCTAATACTTCTCCAGTACCTCATGTCTTAGCTGTTAAGCAGGTAAAAGAACTGAAGTAGGTATTTCAGTGCCTGTAGAAAAGACGCATCTCTTCCCAATTCTTAATCTATAAAGTAAACAAAGTCTGGAGTTAACAAAAGCAGTCAAAGTCCTTGGTTAAAGGTTTTTTCCTTTTTTTTTTTTTTTTTTTTTTAGTGCTTTAGCACTATTTTACTATGACTTCAGAAAGAAATGATACCCAAATGGTTCATTTCTTTTAGAAAGCAAACATGGAACTGTCTTAAATACCCTTTTGAATATGTAATATATACCATAAAGCTACAAAAGAGTCACAATTTTTTTTCCCTTCCCTCTCCTACACTTTCAGTATATTATTCTTCTCTAAGAAGCTACTAGAGTCAGCTGCCTAGAGTYAACCTGTTTATTATTTTAAGCATGGAAAATCCTCCATCCTCCCAACAGGAAAAACACACTAGAGATCTTCCAGTATAATCTTTTTAAAGACTGACGCTCAGATACAGATCTGGCCTCCAGTTTCATACCGACTATGCTGGGGTCCTTTGATAAGGGGTGATGTCTGTGTTGGCATCACTGACTTCTGCTGCACAAAGCACCAGCCTTAAAATACCTGGTGTTTCCAGCACTGAAACCAACCTGTCCTGAAACAGGTCCCTGACTTCGAGGAGGGAAGCAGTTGTTACTGCTGTTTGCTTCACATGTCCAGCTTAGGGCAAGCTAAGATAGAAGCTGGGACACTAGGCTCCACCTGTAGTCAGTGCAGAGGTATTTTCAGGAGGAGCTACTTCAAGGCATCTTAAACTCAGGTAGGTATTTTGGCACATCTTTCCACAGTTAGCAGTGGGCTGAAGTTAAGACTAGCAAGGAAGAATAAAATAATAAAAACTTGTCACCACAGCAGTATCTGTTAAGAGTTTCAGGGTATAATTTTACGTAACTTCTTTGGCAACAAAGGCAGCTTTTCTTGCTGCCTGCTTGTACCCAGCTCTTGCAGAGAGGACTTGTTCCTGTCTCTCCATCCATGCACTGTGACAGCTTGTGGGACCCTGCAGCAAATCGGATTACTGAGAAGACTGGGGTTTAGCTGGGAGGTGCTTTTTTTGTTTAAAAACAACAAAGGTTGGGAGTGTTTGTTTTTGTTTGCCCAAAACACTTCAAGGATCTGGTTTAGGCTAGCCCCACAAACCATGGCACAGCTGGGCAGGAAGAGGAGCAGACTGCAGTGCCTGCATCTGTCGTCTTGTGCCTGAATCTCTTTACAGCTCTGCTGCTTTGGAAAACAAAGGAGCTTCACAGGCAGAGGGAACTGCAGCTAAATAAGGGTCTGGCTTCAACAGCCTGGTTTCTGCAGCGCTGGCTAAACAGTGGCACTAAGCCGAACATGTTTGTTTTGGACTTCAAACGCAAGTGATGCAGTTTTAGTTGTTAGACCCCTGAATTTGCCGTGTTGTTTGAAGTACTGGATTAAAAGTCAGGTTTAGTCACTTTTTAATGTATATAAACATACACAACTTCTGTCTTCCTGCTTTTCCTTACAACTGTATGAAAACAACCTATAGCGAAAGAAAAAAAGGGCAAGTTTTAAAGTGTCTTGCCTTCTATGAAGGTTAGCTTTCTCTTTTACTCTGTACTTGCTTTTGTACATACCCAGACATTCTTCAAGTTTCTTTTCCTACCTCTTCTCATTAGCATGACCTAGATGAAGCTGCATAATGCTCCCTCGCTTACTCCAGCAAAAGGGGGATGAGTTAAAGACAGGGAAGAAGAGAGAAGGCATGTAGGGCCTTTGTGGACCCACCCTTCAATCCTACTCATTTCAAAGAGGAGGGAGGTATTTTGATCCCTCTGTAATGCTTGCCCTCAGCCACTGAGCCCTGCCTTGTTAGGAGGCTTTATTCTTAATGTACTGATTCCTGAAATCCAGTTTATCGTTTGAGTAGCAAGGCTTTTCTTCTTACATTGAATGATTGTTGAATTTTATTTCTGTTTCTTATTCAAGTGTGTGTAGTGAGGGTTTTCTTTTTTTTTTCCTTCCCATTCCCTCCTGCAGTCAGCTGTACGCTGCAAATGGCACAGACAGTGCCTCCTATTGTGGCTTGGGCTCAAGACTTCACATATGTAAAATGTGACTTGCAGCACTTTCTTTGAAGCCTAACCACAGCCAGGGAGCTGTAATTGCAGTCTTTGATTGTGCCGACTTCACTTGTGGATTGGGCTTTGCTAGGGCATGCCTTGCTTGGCGAGACTTCAGCGGCAGCCCCCCAGTGAAGCCTTAGATGTGGGAAGTCTCCAGTCTCCTTAGCACATGCCTGTGGTTTCTTGAAAAGAATCCTGATTTGACCTGTTTTCTATCTGTAAGGCAACACCATCGTCATTATTATTTTTTAGGCATTATTTGGTTTATCATCAGCAGAAGCAATTTCCAGTGCGTAGCCTTAGTGTGCAGCTGGGAAAAGGCTGGGTTCTAGATGCTGTTTTCAGGCAAGCTACTGTGTAATTTTCTGCATGGCAGTATTCTGGAAATAAAAATACATGGGGAAATAAAAATACATGTAATGCTGCCCCTATGCAAAATTACATTGGATGTRTAATTTCTAACAGTATTTGTAATTTTTCTTCATTAGTGAGGTGGGTAATTACAGGTATAGAGTGGTTATGAAAATGAGGCAGAAGCTGCTGAAGCTGCATTTGGATGGAGAAAGAAGTGATGGCCCCTGTTTGAAAATGCTGAGGGCCAGAGCAAGGCTGTGGTCGTTATTTTAACCTCCTGACTTCAAAGACAGCTTGCTGGTAAGAGAAGGGGGGGAGGCAGGGAATCATCTCAACAGAAGAGCATTTCATTTCCTTCAGTGAAGTAGACATTCCTGGCTGCTAATGGGGAGTAGCTCTGAATCACAGCACTTGTATCAGGCTGCTGTGAACTACTGGCCTGGCGCCTCAAGGCCATTCCTCAACAGGAAACTGAATGTTTTCATGTAAGACTGAGAGGAAAACCTTCCCAGGAAGAGCAACCTGGACCAAACCTTTGAAAATCTGGGATGAAAAGGCACAAAATAAATATAAAGCTGCAGGGTGCTCTCCCTAGTGTTCCTCTGCTGTTTGCTTGGCCTCTCTTTCGTGCTCCTTGGAAAGGTAGAGCCCTTCGTAGCTCTTTGATCCCCATGTGTTACGGAGCACTGTGCTACTTTTTTTTTTTTTTTCAAAAAAAAGGCAGGAAGTTAAGAATGCTTTTTTTAGTTGGGACTTGGGCTGGTTTTATGAGGAAATAGGAACCAAATTAGTCAATACAGACCATCTCTGAACCACTGGTTTTCTAGTGGACTTTGGGCTGTGCTGTCTTAAAAGGCCACGGTGACTTTTAAATGTCCTTTTGTGGCTATCAGCAGGTGAAAATTACTCATTATGTATGAGGGGCTGGTAGTATTTGGGGAGAGGGTCTCATTCAATCTAAAGCAATGCGATATAGCATAGCATGAACTTGTGCTTGCTCTTTCTACCTTGGTCTGTAGCTAAACTTGTTGACTATCCTCAATTTTCCCTTCCACTAAAAGACCTGGGAATCTTGGGGGTGGCCTATAATTGGGATTCAATTTGACAGAAAAAAAAAATGGGGCCTGATCTTTCTCTCACAAAAATTAAAGTTCTCGATTTTTGGAGTCATTCTACCCTGGACTACATTAGCTTGTATAACTTCTTATTCAAGAGCAGGACTCAACCAGCATAGGCAAAGTGCTTTGCATTGTAAYGAATTAAATTGAAACTGCATGAAAGTGGAAGGGGGGCAGGAGGGAAGAATGTAGGATAAAGTGGCCCTTCATTAAATATTGCTGCTGTATTATTTGCTGCTTTTTTCTTTTTGTGGCTGTTACTGTCTCAGGGCATCAGTCTATTACAATTAGTCTTAACGGGATGCAGGCAGCTGGCACATTCTGGTAACAGAAGCTGGAATAGTGGTTCAAACAGATTTGTTTCTGTATAAAAGACTTGTTCTATCTTGCCACATGTGATTAGAGGTGTTAATAATTTATCTTCCTTGCCAGAATCAGTATTTGGTGTGCTGTTCTGGTGAAACTTTTTACCTTCTCTGCTGAACTGTATTCCTGGTGCTAATTTTGGTTGTTCTTTAGAGCTCTGGTCCTTGAACCCTTGACGTGTTTGGCAGTTGGATAGTGTCTGGAAGCCTAGAGGTTAGAGTCGTTTTTTGAGATACCAGCAATTCTGAGACCGTTACTGGAAAGCATGTGTCTGTCTGGGAATAATGCCTGACTCATCACACTAGTCACTGGGTGGAGTCCCTGTTACAGTCCCCTTGTCTGGTTCAGAAGGGCAGGGGTGACTCAAATCAGCTGTTACATAAGGTCCATGTAACCCTGATGCTCAAGGGCTCTGCCCTGTAGAGAGCACTGCTCACAGGCCATAAGAGCATAAATCTTCCCACAGCGCTAGGCACCTCAGCTGCCAGGTAAGTGTCCTGTGGCTCTTATCCAACTGGAAGATGCTGCCTACCTCATGGAAGGGTAGAACGAATCCTCCTCAGCAGTATGGATATGCAGCAGGGTCAGTGTTCACAGAAGCCTCTTTCTCTGTCACCCATGAGACTCCAGCTGCTCTGCAGCTGCTTCCCCGAAGAGAGCATTCCTTTGTTTCTGCAGAGAGCAGGGCTTGGGGCTCTGTGATGGAGGTTTAATTGACCTCAACTGCCATCGTATCAAAGCCTGAGGATGTCTAAACCTGTAACAGATGTCTGGGTCAAGTGGTTTAGATAAATGGGATGCACTGTAAATAGAAGTTACTTCTGTAATATGCTCAAGGTTTAAAGCTTTCTTGCGGGTGGGAAAAAAAAATAGTGAGTGGACATTTAATTTACAATCCAGAGTACTCTTGAGTGAAACAAAGCTACAAATACTCTTACAAACTCTAAGCGTGAGCAAGTACTGATAGTTTGTACTTAATTTTGGCATTGTAAAAGTAAGTTCCACTACTACAGTTGTACCGCAGAGTTGCAGTGGCCCCTTGCCATGCATTTCCATACAGACAGTTTCTTTGAAGAGGACTTGTTTAAAAACAAACAAACAAGAAGTGCTTCATATAAACTTTATCACTCTCCCTTCCCTCTCCATAGGTGGGAAAAGAAACGCTTTCTCGACTTGCAAAGCAAAGGCGGCGACACCAGGACCCCTTCTGGAGATGGAAGCTTGTTAAACCCTAGGTGTGTCCTTCATCCACACAGACCACCCCAAGGAGTCTGCCCAGGATGCCCTTCACCCTGATGTCACTGCTAGAGACACTGAATCATAAAGACAATCACTGCCAAAATCCTTCACCCTCACAAGGTCGAGCCCTGGTATAAAAAGAGCAAACGAGCTCCTGGGTCAGGAAAGCAGCTTTCGTCTTCATCTCTGCCTTGCACTCTTAAGTCCCTGTCCCAGCCCTGTCCATACTGAGTGAGCAGCCCCGTAGCACAGCTGGCAGCTTCAGCCACCCCCGTAACGCAACCACAGCTGCCCCTTCGAGCACGCTGAGGAAGGGGAAGCGCCCGGGCAAGGAAGACACACTCTAACTTCTTTTTATTTAATGGTGCGACAGGATCAATTTTGGTTTTAGCTTTTTTTAAGAAACTTGAATGCTTTTATATTTTAACTTTTAGTTTTTAATTTCCTTGGTGTATATTTTACTAGGTATGAGCTTTTAAACAAGTGTCAAAAATTTGAAATACTTTTTAAATAAAGGGTGTTTTTTTTTCTGCCAGAGGAAAAGCCTGTATGGATAAAGGTGGCTTTTTGTTTTGTTATTGTTAAACTATTTGTAACAAATAGTGGCCTCAGTCTATAATACAGTGTCCTATAGAACTAAATAAATATAACAACAGTCAGCTGGTCAGTAGACATGTCAGTCTTGTATCATCTACTCTGTAAACATAAGCAATACATCCAGCAAATCTGACTGCAGTGAGTTCTCCTTCTCACCCATTCCCCTTTTCCTTGTAAAAAGCCCAGCACTTGAATTATTACTTCAACTGTTCTGTATTTGTATCTGTTTTGTTAGCCTGTTAGTGGGATTTTATGCCAGTTGTTGAAATGAGCATTGATGTACCCATTTTTTTTAAATAGTAAGGCACAGCCTTTGCCAAAAATACTGTCAACTTTTTTTTTTTCATTCCAGTTTGAGTTAATGTGCTGAGCATTTGTTTTTTAATAAAAGCTTTGTAATAAAACTAAAGTCAATTGTCTGGCTTTAAAAAGTAGGCATGCCTTGCATTTGAAGAAAGAGAATCCTTGGAAGATAAGAATAAGCCCCCCAAGACATGGTCATTTTTAGAGGCTATACCCTTTGGTATGTGTAAAACATCTGGCTGTTTGCTTTCCTGAAGTGAAAACAGTCCTTTTTGAAAGGAGTCTAACTTTTTTGTTCTTCCCAAGGTAAGCAAAACTCTCCTCACTGTGGGAACAAGAAAGGGGCAGGCTGAGACTTCCCTCGTGTTTCCATGTTACATTTGGGCTAACTGGACCTATTAGGCTATTCACTCTTTCCCTCTACATCCAGTTTTCTACCAGAATCTGCATGAGGGACAAACAGGGCCACACAGCATTTCCGCGCTCTTCAAACCTGACACTAGACACGTGAGCCTCCCCAGCCCCAAATGCCACCAGAAACTTCTCTGATCCATTTCCCCATTTGTTCAGGGGCTACTGGTTTAGAGCTTCCAAACACACAGAGATGTCTGACTTAGAACTAAAGGATTGCACTTGAAAAAACAAACCAAAACACTGTACCTATAGGCAAAAAACTGTTCCAATTATTGGAGAACACCACTGCAAGAGAAAACAGTATGAACTGTAAATTGAACTAACCTATGTTGTATTCTAGCTCCTCACTCTTGTTTGGTGTGGGTTTGGAATGAGGGAAGCACTGAACTACAAGAAAATCACATAGGTGAGTGACTTAATTACCTAAAGAGGTTGTGTGATTAGATTGGTTATGTGACCTTTAAGCTCTGCTGCATATGAAGAAATTTCATAATTATAAATGTTCTGTAACAGCTTCCTTTTAAACCAGTCAAGGCAACTACAACAAAACAAATCTTCAGTGAAATAAGAAATGCAACATATTCCAGAACTTAATGGTGATAAGGCACTTATTTGGAGAGGCAGTGCTTTGAACTTGGACTGACAGATGAAAAAAATGACTAACAAACCCTGAGAGATGCTGCTTAGGCAGAGGYAGGGCCATAGAACAAGCAAGCCATGGAAAGAGGGATTCAGATTTTAACCTCCAGAAGGTCAGTTTTTATTAGGACCTGCCTGTAATGGTGAAGTGCTGGGYAAATACAACAGGAGACAACGCAGAAGATGAGAGTGATACTCAACTGAGAAAAAGTTTCAGAATCCAGGGTAGCCAAGATTCTTAAAATTTGGCTGCTCCTTTTGCTACCCTGAGATAGGATCCCTTCTTACTCTTATCCTGTGACATCYGTTTTATTTTCTCACAGCTAACAACACCTCTTCCTCTTCCCCTCAATTCTGAATTAGAAGGGCAGTAATCATATCTGGGAAAGCAAAAACAAATGCATGTCTGAAGAACCARGAGAACAACCAGGGTTTTTTTTCAGGCCTGCAAGAACCTGCTAGCTCAAACTCTACACAACTTTCTACTAAAAATGTCCCGAAAGAATTCAAAATCAAAACATCTTAATCTAAGGTCCCTCCAGAAATTTATAAACAGGATTTTTGGCCACTGTTTGAAAGTTTAGATTTTGATGTACGGTCTAAGAGTTTCCATTAGTTTCGGTTTGGTGTAACTGCATGACTCAAAACCACTCTGTTAACCACTAGGCTGTGTAGCAGTGCCTGTGCTGGCATTCTGAAGCAGGTATTCCACACCTTTTTTTGCTTCTTCTGGTGGTGTCCCTTTCCGAAACAGGACAGCAARCAAATGTTTCAATATCCAAACAGATTGCTCCATTGCACTGCATACCTGCTCTAGGGTTTCTCTCCTCCCACTTTTCTCTTGCATTTCACTGACCCCTTCCACTCTTGCTCCATCCTCTCAGGTAGTGGTGACTTTCTGCTGCTTTCCCACAGAGGGTACTCGGTCAGGGACCTGCACTGCCAAATGCTCCTCGCACTGCGAAGCAGCCTCCTCTTTCCAGTGACCTGCTGCTATTTCCTATGAACATAAAATGATGCAATTTAAATCTTGCATAAGGCTAGACAATCAAAGAAAGAAACCCTCTGAATTTCCCCGCATATGTGTTCTCCCAACGCACGCTGAGGATGATACAATTTTAGCTCACACATACACATTTTTGTTTTCTGTTCTTTACAGCCTGAAAGTGGTGTAAACTGCCAGGAAGAATTCAAGGGGGTATCACAAATGAGAAGTGGACAACCTCACGACAGATGTAGGTATTAAATCTGCTATCACACAGTTACATAAACATGGAATATGCTATARTAATCTTCCCACATTAGAGGGATTTTTCAGATCACCTTAGTCCAACAGTTGTCTCACTAGCATAAACCATTATCATTTTTTCTTTGGGAGTTAACCTCACTTCTACAGGCAATGATAAGTCCAAGAACAGCAATACAAGAGAGTCAGATGCTGGCAATAGATTTAGATATTTCACCTGACCTGTTCTCTATTATGCATTATTACAGCATTATTCTCTCTTCCACTTAAAATTAAAGCWTGTAACTAATAGCTCACAGAAAAGACGACACGGAACAACACCAGTACCCCCGGCCTCTCACTCTTGAACAGTCCATTTCCTAAAAACACAATGAATGGATTTTTTCASATGTTTAATCTTTACTAGAAACAGTTTCTTACTTGTAGTGTTAGCTGCTATTGTCAAAAAGCTCTATCTTTTGCCAAAAAACAGCAAGCTGATGTGGTGAAGATYGTGGCTGCTGTTATCATTTCACATATTCATCTCTGCTTCATGTTATTCTCCCTTTCTATCAGCAGGCTACCTTAAATGTCACCTGCCAATAAGCTAAATGTTTTCAGCTGTAAATCTCTGCAAATGATCTTTCAGAGTATAACTCTGGTCTAGACACAAACTAAATCCCAATAGTTATTCTAAGACAAATGAATGTCCCCACAAATTTAGATCCAAGTAACAATGCTGGCTTCAATTCACAGATTTGCCAGTTTACTGTCAACTTCAGCAACGGCCTTTGTTTAGCCAAAATTGAAAGAAAACGCCAAGTCTCTAAGAAAGAGAAACAATTCTTCTGTTCCAATTAATGCTTTTGTTAAAGAAAAAAAATGGTATCAGGAAACCCACTTGTGAGATTAAAAGCATCCTTTTTTCTTTTTCATATTTCCTCTTTTTAAAAGGGAAATTTGCCACTTTCAACTAATACTTCACTTTTCATCTAATACTAAAGCAAATTAGGTTCTATAATTTTCTTTCATCTCCTCCCTTAGAGTAAGCTTTCCAAAGGTCTCACCCTACCCATATAGTAAAAGCAGCCTGAACACATTTTAAAATCCACAGCCTCATTCTTATCTGCTATCTCCAGATGAGATATTTTCCTATAGTCTCACTCACCCACGCTCCTTCCTCAAACAATATTGCAAAAATTTCATCACTTAAAAACTCTGTTTCGTTACTTAGCTTTTGCTGCTCTCCCTCTGTCACTAATTTCATGATAGTACCCAAAAATTAATCTGTAAGCAGCTGTTACAGCCCCTTAGGTCAACAGAAAGTGAAGGCAGAAAAACCAGGAGGCAGGATTTTTCTTCAGTCAGAAGGAAGTTGTCGTTGCTACTGTATGAAATAACTAATCAGCAACACTAAGCACSATTTCAGTCTTTCAGTTGATTTTGTCCAAAATACTAAATAAACAGCAAATAGAGACAGAACGCTCCTGTTTCCCTTTATGTTCTTTCAACATTTGTACATGGGGGACTTGTCACAAAAATACATGCTAGCTCTCTTCTAATAGTCTCCATTCTTTTGAGGATTTAAAGAAAACTGAGGCCYTGAAAATTAGACTCTTAAATAAATCCTCCTTTAAATTCTGATAGGCATTTCTGTGTCCAAAAAGTCACTGGAAGCTGTGGGCCACATCTGCTTAGGACATCCTGGAAAAAAGCACTAGGCCTCCAACTAAAATGAAAGGCTTCTAGAAATCTTGTCCTAAATTGTAAGGAGAAAGAGTTATAGTATCAACTGGAAGGAACCTACCAGCCCTCCTGTCATATTCAGAGGAAATGAGGACTTCAAGTAGATGTCAGAAACATCTTACCTTTCAGAACACCTTTTAGTGTAAACCAACAGTTAAAAGCTCTATGAAACATAATTACAATATCTCTTACACCTGCTCCAGCCTGGCTCCATTCGAGAAGCAGGTCTAAAACAGTTGAAAACTTACCAAGCAGGGCTCTCAATGGCCGGCGTGCCTCCATCCAGCTCTGGACACGCTGCCTGACAAAGAGCAGGAGGAGGAGGCAGGGAATAGAGTCATCCCTTCATCACACCACAGACCATTACGTTACCTACACAGGCCCTGCCATCAGCAGAGCAGCTGAATCTCAGGGTATGCACAACCAAAAAAACACTTACTGCACATGTGTGGTTTAACCAATTCCTACTGCACAAACATTTAATAGATCCATTTGAGAATGAAAGGATAATTAAGCAAAAAAGGGGGATTTTATTTGGTGCTAATTCACCACATGCAAGTTCCAGCTGTTTACTGTAGACCTACCGCCAAGCGTACACTTCTTCCCACAGCTCATCAGAAAGCCTCTTACTGGGAAAAGTAGTTAATCCACAAGATTTCTGTTGCTGAAGCCAAGACTCCAAATGGGGGGTTTAGGTTACTAATGACAAAAATTTTGCATKCTTTATCCAGCAAATACTGTAAGGGTTTGTCCATTTACAGAAAACCACCCTAGAAGTGGTTACTGGCAGAAAAATGGGACCAGAATAGCAGAGGCTGTTACTAGGCAGGACAGAGATGCACCAACAAAGCAGCACTAAACAACAGGCTGGGGAAAAAAATCCTGTTATCTGGCAGCCTAAAACAGCCAAAGTAAGCGACAAGTTCCTCAGTGCCCGCCAARCAAAACCCTTGTGTTAAAATATCCTCCTGTGCCCTGGCCAACCAGCAGCATCTGACCCAAAGCTGGAAACTAAACCTGGCGTYGTGCCTCATTTTGATGCCTTATGCCACCACATTGCAAAAGAAACGGCTCCTTTAGTAACTAGGCTTGGCATTTTGCATTATTCCCGCTCCAGTAGCAACCAAAGACTCCAGCCAGGGTTACAGCTTATGGTGCTGCTTTCTGTGAAAAGCATCCGTCGCTGTAACAGTTTTGCAATACTCAGAAAACAAAATTGAAAAAAAAAAAAAAAAAAAAAAAGGAATAAAAGAGAAGAGGGAATTTAACAAGTACAAAGTTGCTCTGTGGTCATGCAATCCTCAATCTGATTAATATAATATCACTAACAACCCTGGACCTCCTTACATACATTTTAAGAGACTCAGCAAAGCATTGCCTTTATAAAAGCCTAAGTATACTGAATAGGGAATAGTACATAAAAAGGGATTTAAGTTTTAACATGAACTTGGACAAGGTCAGGAAATTCAAGACAGATCTTTCCACAAAGCATTTTAAAAATCACCAACTGCTACAAGGAGGCACAGAGTGTGCCTGTGCTTAACCCYTCTTAGCAGAATTCAGCAGAAGGCTAAATGCCACTTCCTTGGGCTGCAAACAGGAAAAGAGACGCAAGGAACACACAACCCAAGAAGATCAAGCTCACAGAATCTGTTTCAGCTGCTGTTCTTAGTGCTTCTGAACAGCACAGAGAAACAGGCATCATTCACRTCCATTTTATAGTTGTTCATAGTGTTGCAAACTGCTATGAATAAAAACAATGAAATATGGCTCTGCTGTGACACTAGCCAGAAGGGCAATGGTGCAGTATGATACTGCATGACTGTATGATACTGCATGACACAAGATGACTATGTCAGGCTGTCTCACTTGAARCACAGACTCCAAAACCATAAGCAGGATTTTTTAAGGAAAGTTGGTCACTATAAGCTACAAAGATAACTTCTGGTTTATCAAMATCCTTAAAGCCACTTGCTTACTGRCAAATTAGATTTTGGTAATTACATGTTGATATCTTTTACTTGGGTCTTGCTAACATTTGTGATAACCATCAGTTAGTAYAGCTATGAAAATGGACAGGGGCTTGAAGAGCAATACTCTGAGACACAGAAAACATCTTCTATGTCATGATGCYACACAACACACAGAGGATACTTACACAAAGAGTTCACTAGAGAACAGCAAGCAATTGTCATCTCAAACAAATTCTCTTATCTGTCTGCAAGGAAAAGAATTATTTATCAAATGTAAGTTAGCAGCACTTTGGCAAAACAGTGGMAGAGACCAAAACATACTTTCGCATGACTCGGCATCCTTTTATTTTCTTCTCAAGGAACAAAGCAATCACATCACCCATGTGCAACTACACTGCACACACTTAAAGGTCACTGTGCCCAAAGATCCCTGATCTGAATGCTGCACTACAATTCAGAAGGAACAGAGTAACACTACAAGCAGATGCTAGAGAATGTAGGTTCTAGTAGATTTCACCTCACATTCTGTAGCATGTATTTTTCTGCCAGTAGGAATGTGATTACCTAGAGCTGGCTCAAGCCTTACTCATCTGCAGACTTTATTGACTCTAGTATGGCAGAAACTCAGGAACACGCAAGACCTTCCCACCACAGGGTTTGGTTTTGCTGGGTAGGCTGAAAACATGTATTTTCCAGTTCCCTTCTCTTTCTAAACTAAAATCTTACCGTGATGTTCTGCAAGGTCCCACATTGGAAAAATGACGTAGCAAAGTCCCCTTTCTATGTCCATTCCAGATTAATATCCATACTGCGAGGCGATATCTGTATCTAAGAAAATTAATTTGCTAGAGTAATATACTGGAAAAGCTAGATTACTTTTGCAAACACAGACTCACATTTATTACTTCAGGATATCTGCACTCAGCAAACAAGTAGCTCTTATTATTAACCCAGCACAGGTACCATTTGGCTAGGTGCCATTAGTGGAGAGCATTTCATTAGTCAGAACGAAGCCAGATTTTAATTTCTACACCAGACTTAACCCCTCTTTAGATCACACCTGATCTCAAGTGCTATCTCTCACACTTCGTACTTCACAAGCTCCTTGTGCAGAGCATTCTCCTCCAACCCAAATAAGACTTCACTTTCAATTCCCCTGTGCAGTTTGCTGCACTCCCACTTTCTCCCCACCCACGTCACAGAGCATACATGGAGCACATTTGGCAGCTGAACTGACCCAGATGCTGAATCTGGAGCCATCCTCCCCAGCTGCAGTAGCTGGGCACATGTCCGACTACCTCAGCTGTTGACTGTCAAGCTGCCTCCAAGCTGTGCCAAGTCTGCATCTCAGAGCTTTGATGGAAGTGGGGCAAACGCTCTAAAGCTGGGAGGTCTGCTGACAAAAAGGATAAGGAAGACTAAAGGTTTTTAAAGCAGGCAGTGATGGAAACCGAGCACCCTTGCTTCCTTCTTTTCTATTCCTTATGTTTTCACAATCTGTTTTCCCTTATACAATAAAATCCAGGAGGAACAGAGCTGCTTGTTAGTCAACATGCCAAGCAGTGGAAGGTCATTTCTGGGTTCTGGAATCCAGTCACAGGCAAAGCTAGGGACTCTGAAGTCATCTTTACTGAGAAGGCGCAGGTAGACAAATCTGGGTATTTCATTATCTACTCTTTAAGCCTTCTAGCGTTATATCTAAACTACCTGCTGAACAAGTTGCAACTCCTCCTACAAATGAGGAGTGACTATTTACTTTTCTATTTCTGAACAATTTTGAGTGTTCATTGTGATGTTGAACCCAAGAGACTTCTGACATATTTCATGCCTTCTCACTGGGGAATGAAAGCAAAAGCTTACCTTGATCCAGTGGCTTCAGTGGTTCAATTACAAATATAAACTCTAATCTAGATTTAATTAAGTATACTTGTATTTGAAATTTTGGCCCTTTACCTCATTCTTCCTGGCTCAGTACTCYGCACGCTGACAGAATAAACCATCCATGCCCACCAGTAACGTACCTCCATGCGTCCCTTTGGCTACAGAGAAAAAGAAGTCCCTCCTGAAACAGCAAGTCAAACTTRCAAACATCTCTCTCAGGTTTCTTGCATATATTGCATATGTACATACTGTACCTGTTAGACCTCCTGAAAGGAAAACGCTGTTTTAGAGAAAGTTTATTTTTCTGAAATATCATTTACTAGTGAAATATATTTTGCACATTTATTATTAAACAGCCCTTACTGTGCTTTAAACCTAAGCCTTCACAAATTAAAAGGAAAGATGATCTTTTGAGTAAAAGGAACAAAAACAAAACAATTCTTACCAATGTTGTTAATTTTTTTTAAAGGAGCATTTAAAGGCACAAGAATAATACATGTTTTCCTGCTCTAAATTAATAATGAAAATAGCAGCTCTGAAGCTAATTCCTCCCTGCAGCACTTAAAATTCACTAAATTGTATTAGAGGCACTAAGAAACTTCAAGTGAAATGGAYTTTAGGTCCAAAAATTGGACTTTAGTTCAGGAACACCAATTCAGCTTAACAATATTAGAAAAGGAAAGAGACTGTCTGCAGTATGATTTCTTTCCTTTGACACTCTTTCATGACAAGCACCTGAAAAGCAGAAAATATGAAATGAGGATCCTGGATCCAATGAAACAACAATCTCTATTCCCCTCTCAGAGGCTTCTTGCATGATTACATGCAACCAAATCAGCACGCGAGCCTCACTTTCTTTACAGGTTATCTGTAAAGATTCTGTGTCAGGTGTTAAAATAGGGAGAAAGAGGCATGTGAGAGTTAAATATTTATCCATCATTTCTTTAATTAAAAAAAAAATTTATATATGCGCACTCAGTTTACAGATCCAAAACACATATAATAAAAGCAAGCTACTACTCAAACTGGAGCTCCAGCCCTCACATCCACCTGCTCTCCAATAGCTGAGGAAAAGGCAGCCTTGCAGCACTCCCCTCAAGAACAAATCCAGACTCCGCTAAGACCCAAGGAAATGAAGTTGCAAAGCAGAAGGTGCCTCACACCACCAGCCACACCTAGTTACACAGCATGGACTCCAGTCTCAATCCCCTGAAGTACTTGACTGCAATAGTAAAGTAGTGCTGTAGTCAAAAATGACACTTAAAATGAAGTGCCACTAAATAAGGCCACTTTATAGGATTCGAAAAAGTATATGGAAGCCTTTACAAGCTTCCTATCCTAGTTATTAAAAACAAATCTAAGTACTAAATTTGCCAAATTAGGAATCACCTTCATAATGTTTCTACAGCAATTAGCAAAAGGTGGCCCTTGATCTGCAATTGAAAAAGCCGGGAAATCCAAATAGAGTTTTCTTTTAAAGGCAGTATTGGGACCATTCTGTGCAGGTACCTGCCTACCTGCATTCTGTGCAGGTAGAGCGGGTAGAGCCTGCCTCTGCAGTTCTTTTGTTCTTAATATTACACTCAAAAGCATAAGCTTGTTCAAGACACTGTAATTTACACSTACATATTAACATTGTGTTTAAGAAAAATCCTAACAGAACAACACACTGCCTTTCCACCTCTGCATTTGCCACTGCAGAAACAGACTGCCACCCAGTGGACTACAATCAAGTACATCAATTGAAGTCATGGCATTCAGTATTCAATTGTTGAAAAATTTATTTTCATGAAAATGTATTTTTGTTTGGATTTTTCCCCTGTTAATATAACAACATGTTCAGATACAGAAATTCACTTGGCAGTTTGTCCTGCACTTGGGAGGGCAGAGAAAAAAAAAAAAAAAAAATCAACATTTGCATGAAGGCACCATATATGTAAAGCTTTTCAAAATTACAAGACAAATTAATCTACCAAATCAAGCTTTTGGCATAGAAACTGTGAAGTAGTGCAATCACTCAAGTTCAGACATGGGTTATGCTCTAAATGCAGCTCATGCCATCCTTGGGAGGGCACAAACAGAATTCACCTGTGGTATGGGAATGCTGAATAGCATACACAGATGGCTTAAGAGCTCCCAAATTTGGGGGTTCATTTGTATTTGTAAAATCCTTCTCCAGTCTTCTTACCCAGCTTCTTCTCTTCTACCAGTTTATTCAGCAGAGGGCTGGGGGCAAAAAGAGGATTGTTGGGCTCTAATGCATGCCATCCTGGAGGAAGAAAAGTGGTGGATGGATTAGTAACAGTCTTGTTTATATGGAAAGATGKAGATCTTGATCTCCTTGGAAAAAAATCTTAAAAGTTTAGCAAACTGAAAGAGGTTTGAGTTGAAATTTATTCTGAACTCTCCCACACCTTCATAAAGCTTCTGTGCTTCATAAATCACAGCTCACTCCTCATAATCAGGAGCAAAGCTAGCAATTAGTTTTTAGGCACAGTCTACTGAGAAGACTTCTTTCTCGTAAGCTATATAACTGGGATTTTTAATACTTAAAAGTGAGAATTTTGAAATAGAAGAAAACAAGAGACTGAGAAAAAGGAAATAAAAGCAAGGGTCAGTTAAAAAGAGATTCAAGTGAAAGGAACTTCCACTTGAATTTCTATCTGTGAAAGACATGGTCAGTTAGAGAACATAACCCTGCTCTATGACACTGGCTAAAATTACACATTGTTTGACTGTCTCAGGCTAACATGTCTGCCTTCAAAATGTGCATACTCTACCATGTTTATCATTTATCTTGAAGCCAGTACTATAGTAGACATACACTTTTATGCTGCTCCATAAACACTTCTTATCATCCTGTCATTTAAAACTGGCCAACTTGATTTTCATATAGTATGCAAACTCTATTTCTAATTAATATCTGATATGAAATAAAGTACCTACATTCACTTTAAAGAGGCAAATTTTCCAAAAGGTAACTAAATAATATAAAAAGGTATCTCCACATAAAGCACAGAAACTTTTGTCTATCTGGACTGTCCCTCTTCAAGCGTGCTTTTTTTTTTTTTTTTTTAAAACAGTCTCTAGCCCAGTTTTCACTTGGAAAATAGGCACCTATATTTTCAGCTTATGATTTTGCAGTTGTTGCAGTGATAGCCATGGCAAGGATCAGCAAAGGAGATGGGACCACAACTAGGGCTGACCACTCAGTGTAACTGAATTCCTGTTCCTCTCTCCTTAACAGTGAAAAGGCTGCACCATAAACATTCCATTCAAACTAGTCAGGAGTCAGATTACAACATTCGCCTACAATTTAGCTAAAAAAAAAAAAGAGAGAGAAAATAAGAGAAAATAAGCAGACAGTACCATCTATAATGTATTTACTAGTATCCAGTCCAACATAGTCCAGCAGCTCAAATGGACCCATGGGATAGCCAGCCCCAAGCTTCATAGCAACATCAATATCTTCCTTTGATGCATCTCCTGGAGAAAAGATTGACAGTTTGATGAACAGAGAAGATTCTGCATCTTCTTGCCACCACTTATAAATAATTTACAGGGTGCTATTTCATGCTGGTGAGCTCTTCACTGAAATCTCTGCACATTTCAGAACCACAAAACCTGGAGTCAGCACGCACAAAAAACGTGCTGGAGTACAAAGCTGAATCTCTCTCACTAAAGAAGTGCAGGTCTACTTTCCCCCCTCTCCTACTTTCCTCTTGCACTCCTAYGTACCAGGCTCAACCTACCAGAAGACTGGAGAAAGCATCCAGCACTAAAAAGAATCAAGGGTTTCTAGCAGATACAATAAACTGGCACCACCTGCTTCAGCCAGTGCCTATGCAGTATACAAATCCTGCACTGACTGCATTCATCACAGGCAACTTTCCTTTCTTTCTTTGACTGGGAATAGGCCTTACATTGCTGTAGAGGCAGGCACACCTCTGCTGCTTATTCKTACTAGACATTTTGATACAGGCAGTGCACTACTTTGCAGATCCTATAAAAAGGGATCAAGCTATGCAAACCTCAGATATACCTGTTAAGTATCTTAGAAACACATTCCAAAATCTTCTATAAGTAGAAAAACATCACTAATAACTTTATATTAAATAATATTGATTTTAATGTATCTCCTCTTACTCTTTACTGTTGCCTTTTTTAACTTTTTATTTCTGAGAAAGTGGGAAAACTCAGCCTCTTCGTTTCACTAATTTCAGCATAATTTAAGCTCCCTGAAGTCAAACACATGTAAACACTCAACATATTTGAGGTTGACAAGAGTTATTTACTTCTATCAATGGACTTGGCACATTTGGGTTTGTCAGAACTGGCACTTTGCCACCTTACAGATAATGATAATTCACAAATATGCACTGTCTGCAGGAAATCAGCAGCATCACAATGAACTTTAAAAGGGTAAAGGSGCAAACAACGGCCGTACCCTATATCACATTTAGATTTGTTAGGATATAGGGGACTTCCACAGCAACTTGACTGACTTTACTTTTTAAGGTTTTTCCTTTAAAAAAGTGAAAACAGACTATTACCCATCAATATTTATAATATGTCCCCTGTTTAATTCTCTGTAATCTGCTAAGTGTATTTTGCCTATGAAAAAGCATGCAAATCTTTAACCATTTAAATCATGGAGATTTTGCATAAATAAAGAATCAAGACTGACCCAATAAAATGGTATTTTAAGGGTCAATATTGTCAGGAAAGAGACCCAAATTCCTTATTAACTTAAATGATATTCAGACTCAAGTGTCTACTCTACAAATTAATGCAAGCAAGGTGATAAAAATTTAACCTGATTCAACAGAACACATGAATCAGAAGATAGCCATCAGGATTCTCAAAACATTAATCATCTTTTAAAAYTGATTTCTTAAGAGTAAAAAGTCAATAAACGAACTTTAACAAGCTTGGAAATATGCTCTGTTGAAAAAAATTCAAAGAGAATAAAGATGAAATCAAAATAGTAGAATGCCTAGGCAGATAACAGTCAATTTTAATTCATGAATTTAGTGAAAGTTTTTCTCTACATTTAACTAAGTTCTCTTGTCTCCTGGAAAACATACAGTGACACAAGCCACTTACACAACTTGTAAAAGCTTGTAAGTGTACAAGCCACTTACTCCTTGCACAAGAGGCAATTCTTTTACATACAGTAAAACAAACCCACACACTATTCAGAATTGTGATTTTTTCTAAAAGAATAATACCCCCCCACATCCATGCCCTCCTTTCAAGCCACTGAAATTTGCTCTTCCTCCTTTGAGATGTAATTAGGTACATTTGTTGGTGGATAAACAAATAGTGTTGGGTTTATATTTATTCCTAGTGATCAAACTATCCCTGCCATGTGCTATAAAAGATATTCTAATATTTAAAGCATATTTGGAGGAATTTAGATAATGAAGAGCTTTCATCTGTAGGWAAGCAGTGCTTTCAAAAACAAGGCATTTCAAATAATACTCTTAGTAGCATGCAGCTATGAACAGAACACTTTTCTGCTCCACTCTAATTTCCTCTCTATTCATTCACATAAGCTTGTTTTCTTTTCAAAACAATTATTTATGCTTTGTAATTAAAGCAGTTCTTCAGAGATTTATGATTATTCCTACTTACGCTCACTGTTAATGCAAAAGCAACCAGCATTTAAATCGAACTTCTTAAAGAACACAGGTCTAAAAAAAGACCCAGGAAGAAGAACAAGATATTTCAGGAGCAACAGGATACACCTTAGATCACCTGTATTCCACTAACTCCTGGGTGATAGAGAATATTATACTACTTAGTTAAAAAATTGTGTGTGAATTGGTGTTTTCACTAGCAAGCTCTATATAAGTGACCTTGGGAGAACTTTCCTAATGGTCTCTTGATGGAATTTCCAGACATTTTCACAATGGCTTCTTGGTGGAGGGAGAAGGGATTTCCTAAGCAGTTGGCTGAGGGGTATTTTTACAATGGCATTACACTTGCCTCCCATCTCCAAACCAGAAACAGTTTCCACCAGCAGCAGTTTCCCACACAGGGTATTAGTAACTTCTGCCTCTGCATACACTGGCATTTCAAAACAAAGACAAGATCCTTTCAACTCCACGCACTAGCTGATATTTCAAGTGCTCTACCTCCAATTCTCATTTCCATCCTCTGAGTCATGGAAGTTGCAATGGAATCCCAGCATTTTTCTGAAGCTACTTATTATTTAGCAGAATAATATGTCAACTTCTCCTGAAGTAAATACTCCTATAAGTACCTCTCTCAAAGAGTCGAACAGCTTCAAGCATGTATGGCACCAAGAGACGGTTAACAATAAATCCTGGAGTATCCTACAAAAAGAAAAAAAGGATTCTAGTTAAACATTTTTCATCAGTGCTATACTCAAACACTGTATGACAAATTGAACAAGGGCATTAAGACACTTTTTTGAATCATCAAGTTTTGATATGCTCTAAATTATATTTTCCATTTGATTAAATCTGGTCACTATAAACAATAACGGATGAATTTCACAAACAAGGAACATATGTAAACATTCAGAACTGCGAACAGACTACCACAAGTCCAACTCAGTAAACCCCAAAAGCTTACTACAGTCATTTAGTAAAAATCTCCTCTTTAGCATAGATTTGTTGATACTGTATCTGCTGTATCTGAAGAATAAAATAAGTATTTTTTTTCCTCTTTTTTTTTTTTGTGTACTTGCATTGCGAGAAGCATTCCTGGTTAAGCAGTGTACTTCTACCCCACTACTCACTGCTAAACCACATTTCTGAAAGTTAAGATCACTTCAAAAGGACACACCAGTGCTTCCACGAAAAGATRTCTGCTATCAGATGAAATTAATACCAAACTGGCAAACAATGCCTAGACTAGAGTCATTCTACTTAGAGGAATTTGGGTTAAAAGTAGGGGCTTCCCTTACCAAATGTTTTAATGGAGAATAGATGATCTGGACTAAAAACWGCCTGAACATTCTTGATATGCTCTTACAATTTAAGAGAAACCGCCAAGTTAAACCAAATAGTTTTAAAGAGAATAGCTGTTCTCAACACCGTACACCCCTCCCCGTAATTCAAAGATATTTACCTTACAACTGACAGGACTCTTTCCTACTGCTTTGCTGAAATCCATAAGCGATTCAAAAGTCTTCTGGCTGGTCATTGGTGTCTTGATAACCTAGACAGGGGAAGGAAGTGAGAGCGAATACATTTCTAAGCAGAATCTTAATTCATGTTACGACAGAAAAAAAAAAACACATTTCAAAACTTTTACAAAAATTCAAAAAACATGTATTGCAAAAAACAAATTTGATCTTTATATATGTAGCAGATATAGAAAGCTATTTTTAAAAAGATAGTCAAAGCACATCTTGAAATTAAATGTTTGTTTGGAAAAATTTCCCATTTACCTAATATGAATGGTAAAAGCAACATCTTTTCAGAACCCCATTTAGAGATTATAGTGTAACAGAACAACTTCATAACCACACAGTCTCTGCTGCCTTGTGAACACATTGACATCATTCTAAAAAAGATGTATTTACACACACAGTTTTTGATAAAAAGGGCACAACATTACGTGCCTAAACTAATCATGACCACAGACAATTTTAAAGAAAATAAAAATCTATTTTTCAAATTTGGAACAGCCTGCTATTTTTCAAGTAGATCTTCTCATCTGATTTTCTTATCAATTGAGTCTTTTCCTTTTGCCACCTGTAGTCTTTTCTACAAGATTTACTAGAGTGTGGATACATTAATTTATGATTAAACACCTAGCATAGAAAAAAAAATGACTTGCAGAAGCTAAACTGGTTGCGATATCACAGAATCACAGAATWTTCAAGGTTGGAAGGGACCTCTAGAGATCATCTAGTCCAACCTTCCTGCTCAAGCAGGCACACTGAGAGCATGTGGCAAATATCTGTGTTGAAACTCAGCCTCCACATGCAGTAACTGTCAAGCAGTAAACTGTCCAGCAAACTGCAATATGTAAGCTGTTATGGTTGAACTCCAGGTTGGAAACACTTCTAAGTTGCTTAAGAGTTCTGTCCCAGCCATCCAAGGACTAATGCTGAGTTTGACACARAACCAAAAGTAGCCCTGAGGGGGAGCTGTTTTTTAAGGGGAAAGTAGTAGCAGTTTTTACTTTTAAGTTATATAAAAACATCTGAGTCACATTTACATAAGATTAAAATGGTTTCTAATAGACATTTCAGTATTTTTAAACCTTACTACATTATTATCTGACATTTACCTCCACAAGCTTCATCATAGGCACAGGATTGAAGAAATGGAGACCACCAAATCGATCCTGCCTGGTGGTTGAGTTAGCCAACTGGGTGATTTGCAAGGATGAAGTGTTGCTTGCAAATATTGTATGCCTGGAGAGAAAAAATATAAAAATAAAATTGACAACTATGTTTCTGACAGTGGAAGATCAGTGCAGTAGACATACATATGCATCAACAGACTTGTTAGATATATCCTGCAGATCAAACTTATCTTTTTGATAAAGTTTATATACAGTAATGTGCAACGAGAAGGGAAAAAAAACAAAAAACACTGAAAGAGCTATGTGGGATTACAACTTCAGGTCAAGTATGTTGAACACTTCAGTTGATCAAGAAAATGGATTTTTAAGTTAAAAAAAAAAAAAAAAAAATCATTAACAGCCCACATCTACTCCAGAAAATTTCTTCAAAAAAAAAAAAAAAAAAAATCATTAACAGCCCACATCTACTCCAGAAAATTTCTTCAGTAATCATGGAAACAAAATGGAATTTGTGACTTTAAATCATTTAGACATCTACAGAAATCAAACATTTTGACTTCTCAAATACCTTATTATGGTACCTAAAAATATTTGCAATATTTTTAATAATCACCAATGGGAGACCTCATAAGCAAGATTACTATGAGAGAAAAGAGCTGATGAAAAGACAGAATAAAAAACAGCTATAAGGGATACAAAAAGGGATACTTCAGGGGAAACAAAAAAAATTAAAAACTCACTTTAAGATATATATGCATATGAAGTATTTTTCATATGCATACAATCAATTTACTACTTGCATAATGTTTTATTTTAGAAATATCCCAGTGCCTTCAGATTCCTGTCATATGGACATAATACAGAAAACTCACACGCGTGACATTTTCAGAAAACTGACATGAACTGCAAAAATTAGCAGCTAAATTAGACATGAAACCATACCTTCTCTTCTGGACTATATCCTACCTATCTTCTAGAAGATTATCCTACTGGACTGGGCAAATGTCAATCTGTACTAGTAATTCATTTATATTCTACCAAGATGTAAATGAGCTTTACAACAGAGCTTTCAGTTATGTGTAAGTCATGGGGACATCTCAAAGATTAAATGAAAACATTTTAGGATAAAAAAACATTCTCTGAGTTCTATTTTATTATTTATGCTTTTTAACCTTTTGAGAATTTCTTTAGGAGATGGAAATAAAAAATTCTAAGACTTTTTATTCATAGTTCTTACAAAAGTATTTTTGTTATTTCCCTACCATAAAGCAGGCCTTACATATTTTGAGGTGGGGTAATAAAAAATATTTTGTATTCTATAATTTTGACCTCCCATCTGAAAGATGCTTATCTTTACCAAAAATCTGTCATTACACACAAAGAACTCAAATATCCATATAAAAATATTTTGAGTCCAAATCTAAACCCAGCAGAGATTACATCTGACAAAACAATGCACTTACAATAAAAGATTTTACTTTAACATCGTATTTGTGCTTTAAACTCACACAATGCCGCAGGAAAAAAATGTAATTTTGTACTGCACTCAACGGTGTTTTATTTACACTCTCTACTCTGATCAAGCAATTGATTTAAATCGAGTTTACAATGGAAGAAAAATACTTCCATGACTTATGTACACAATTTAATCTTCAAGTGACAGCAGAGTTGGAAGGCTTTTGAAAGCAGCAATATTAGTAAAGCTCTAAACGTAAAGCTTTTCCAGGCATTAGTGTGCTTTCATTTGGTGCCATCTAGTGGGTCATAGGACAAAATGAAAACCAGAATCAAAACAGTTCATCTCTTTTTTTTTTTTAATACAGTTAATCTGAAGAACATTTCTTCATAACCATTTTGAAAGCACATTGATTCTGAACATACTGAAAAATCCAGAAACACCAGCCAGTTTCTACACAAGTTTCCACATCTGAAAATAAACCCTAGACCAGGAAATGTTGCCCCGCGTTTGAACCACCCAGAACTACCAGGAAGTAAAGAAGGCAAAAGCTTAGGAAAGCAGATATTCCAAAATTCAGAAGCACATATTCATTATGCTCGTGTTTGCAAAGGTGCTGCAGTGTTTAAATGCCTGAAATAATAGGAAGACTCATCTTTATTGCAGAGGTCACCGTAAATCAAATATAGCAAATAACCATATAGCTGTTGCCTCTAAAGAAGAAAGTTGGATACAAGTGGGGTATGGTATAAACGAAGAAAAGCACAAGGTTTCATATGCTTCAATTTCCATAATTCTTCCTATTATATGGAAAGGTAATACATAAGCTTATAGGTTCCCACCAGCTATTCCTCTGGTAAACCCAAAGATTTGAATTAACACGTCTTCTTAACTCAGGAGGACAATCTTTCATAATCTCTGCCTATAGCATACAGCTCAAAGTGTCATCAATGTCTAAGGCCTCACAGAAACAAAACTCCTCACAGGACTCAATATCACCTTTAAATAAATCTGAAGACATAAATCAACCTCAAGTCTACTGCCCCTCCTACGCTGATTTAACAGTCAGCTAGTCTAAATAATAATTTTGAAGTTGATGTTGAAATCTTAGCAAAGGCTGTATGACAACAGCACTGACACCTCTTGCTTTATATTACATCAGCTTGACAAATACAGTAAATAGTCAGCTGCATCAAAATAAGCATGGGGAAACACTGACTGAACATTTCTGCTTTTCCCCCATGTTACTCACATGAAGACCAACTCCCCATATTTCTCACATAACTACAAATTTCCATTTGTATCTCAGAGTTAGTGTTTTAAACACTTAGCTACTATGTTTCAGAACTTTATTGGTATTTCTTTTTTTTCAGATATGCTGTTACCCTGCAGCTTAGAGTCACCATTTACTTCCACTTTCTTCATCTTGTAAGATAGCTCTATTTTTCCATCACTTTCAATTTTCTTCTTAAAAAAGAAGGCTTATGTCTAATGTCATTTTTTCCAGGTCTGCAAAACAATGCCTTYTGCAGCATCCAGAAGCATACTTGAGAAACTCCCAATATCTGTTAATATTCTGCAGTTTAAATTGCCCGTTTCAAGGCAGCTATGCATATGAGCAGTTCAGTCTTAGGAAAAACTGGGTCAAGTGTCCCAGATATTCAAGTTACTAAATGACAGTCGACTTGAGTCCCTGTGCCTATCCTTCCTTCCTGTCTGGTCCTAGAYCCTTTGCCATTTAGTACCCTATAATTTGTATATTAGCTTTCTCTGTTGAAAACACACAGACTCAGGTGACCAGTGCTCTGTTTTAATGTGAAAAGTGCAATTTGGGTGAGACGAGGCATTCTGGTAACTGTCAAGGGCAGTTATAGAAGCCTTTTGWCATCAACTATTGTTTTCAGAAGTTACAGGCAGTTTTGGTCATTAACCATATTAGCCTGAAAATCTTCCCAGGCTGAAATCAGCTAACTGGTAACTTTTTTCTCTCTCTCTCTTGATACTTTATTCAAGTTGCAGCTTGTTAAGCTCCTTAGCTAAATCAGATAGTCTGGAATAACAGTTAGGCAATACTCTCAGTTTTACTTATACTAGTTAGAACTAGTCAATCTGCCAGTGGTCAAGGTCTTGTGACTCCAGGTACAAGGATCAAGCTCCTACTATTACATACTCAGCTTACCAGCATCTTTGTTTAACTCACACACAGTAATTGACAATGAGCCATTTCCATAGTAGAAACTTAAAACTTCGTTGGCTTAAATGTTTCATTGTTAAGTTATTGCTTACTCTAAGAGGTTTCTTAAACTTGTTCACATTAAGGCATGCAATCAATAATTATTTCATCATCCCATTTCTCAATTTAAGTACGGCAACCTGTATATTAGGAATTACCCATCAACAGCAGCACTAGCTTATTCTACTGTTGGTTTGGAGACTGGGGAGAGATTTCTATTATAGTTGTCTGAGCAGACAACTCCAGGTGAGTAACTGATACTGATACCAACTCTAGGTAAGTCACAAGCCACTCAACATGTCAAAGCATGCAGATTTCCCAGCTGCAATGTTGACAGTTGCTAATCCTTTATCAGCCTGAAATTCAGTAGTGGTTTCACAAAAAGGAACTATGAAAGTGGTCTAGAGTCATGATTCTTACTCCTGCAACAACAGGAGTTCAGCTCCATCTGAACTATGTATAAACGTAAAAAAGTTGTTATCAAGATTTTTCATCTTGGAATAGAATCATTCATATTTTCATTTCTAAAGCCACAACAAAGATCAAGCCTCTTTAGTGTGAGCAGTTTGGAGTGGAAGAGTAGAATTATAGCTAAAAAATTGTAGACATACACAAAGTTATCTTTTTGAACTGCTCACAAGGTTCGAAACCCGTTCTTTCTTTCATTCAGACATCTACCCCTGTAATCTCTGCTTCAAATGCTGCTGGATCTCAGGGAGTSAAAAAAATGGTTCAACTCATCACAGTAACTTAAGTGTGATTCAATAAGAGGAAAAAAAATAAAAAGCAACTTTCAGATCAACTGCAGGACTGAATCTTAAGTACATGGGATTTACATAAAAAGGCGTAGCTAGTTCATTTCATGCTGCTATAAAAATATCACTATGAAAGATCCCAAGTACAACAGATGCAAAACATTAAACATAAGTAAGCTGCACAAAAGCATTTTCTATTTAGCCATTTGACAGGTTTATACAAGCTAATTGAAGTGGCTAATTGAAGAAAAGTGTGAGGAAGACTGAAATTTTCTGTATCCACTTCTCTTCCATATCAAGAGCTTATTGGTAGCTGAAAGGAAAACTTACAGTGACTTGGAAAAGAAGACTTTGAATCTTTTGAGAAGATGAAACCTATCACAGATCTGTTTATATCCAAATATAACATGAAATTCCCTACATTAAGCAAAACAAGAAATAGATAAAATCCAGTCTATGCATCTGAAAATGTCTGAGATATCCGTATGTGTCAAATATTCCCTATTACATGACATTCGGTAATTAGTCTGAGGTAATTAAAAAAATACTCCCGATTTTAAGAAAATGTAGAATTGATGCTTTAAAGACAGACAGAAGATACAAAGACGTACATTTCAAAAAGTAACAGAAAAATATACCCACTCTGGAGCAAACTTATCCAGTGTCTTGAAGAGCTCGTTTTTAACTTCCTGGTTCTCCACAATGGCTTCTATCACCAGATCTGTACTGTGGACCACTGCTACTGCATCCGTGCTTGTTGTCAGGTTCTTCAAGGTCTTCTCAATGAACTCAGCACCAGCCTGAAAGATTTCAAGAAGTCCCAAAGTCTACCTACAATGATTGTGAAAACCCTATTTCGATCTTTTGAAGTTTATTTAAGCCCTCAAAGCTTAGGGCATTCTTGATACATTTCAAAATCGGTAAGAAAGTTCCTATCATATTTTAAAAACGTCACTTAATCCATTCTTCAGTTGAAACTTCGGCACAAAAGACTGAACAAACAATTGGTCTGTCATTCAATATTTTCTGAGAAAACTTGGGCTTGTCTGGGGGTAAGAACGAGCCTCCTCAGTTTCAAATCTTTGCACTGTTTTCCTTCAGTGAAGTAATTAGCCATTTTTACAGCTCACTGCTATGAATGGATATGTGCTAGTTTATGGATACTCCAGCAAAATGATATGGCTTACAAACAACACCTACCCTATTTTTTTGCTAGGAATGAGGGGAAAAAAATCTCTATCTTCTGACCAGCAAAAACTGCCTGCAATGCAAACATTGACTCTGTTTGTGAAAACAAAAATCAAAGACAATCGTGAGACTTTTGGAAAAAGGGAAAATAGAAACCTAACACAAGTAAAAACATACTTGCACACTAAAAATACATCATATTTGAAGTATAACCATCACACATACAACTTGCTTTTAGATTAAAAGCATTTGCAAAGCGGAATTTGGAGTCTCCATAATTACCCGCAGGCAATTACACTGCTCTAGTTATACTGGCATTATTATAGGTTTTCTTCTGTACTACCTCAGGTAAACAAGTCCTTTTTCGCTTCCTTTGTCTGATGCACCATTCATGCTGATAATCAATACTAGGATAATCTATCTATGGAAATAGGTATAAAAACACATGTTGCATCTGCTGTAAAGTACAATGTTACATTTTCTCCTCTCTTCCTCAGCTGCCAAAGAAATTTAGAGAAACAGGCAAAGCAGCAAATAACTTTTAGGATATAAATTTAAATGCATCAACTGCTGCACAGTACCTGGTTGTATGTAGGTCTTAATGTAAACACTGAGAACCTTACATGTGTAGTTCAGGTTCTGAGTAGTTCAACTTGCACTTTCATTTCCTTTCCAATAATTCTTTTTTGTGCCCAAGCATTTGATCATCAAAAGATTCCTTATGCAGGTATTATGACAAATTATGTAATGATTATTTTTTCTGGATAAAATGGATGAATTCCCAGTTAATTGCTTAAAAATATTTGCAATTAAATTAGGAAGAACAATTTGCCAGCAACTTTAGCATTTGCTTTAATAAAATCTTTATCTTGAGGCTAAAGTCTAGAAGAGAAAGAAATAAGGAAGACTTCATTCCACCAACCTGAGTCAAACAAGTCCAAGAAAATTTAAGCTCTTCCACCATACTGGAAGAGGTTTACTTTTGATGTCAGTATACTAACAAGACCTATAATACCACAACTGTCAGCAATCAGAAGTCCAAAATGGGAGTTTTATATGGGCCAAGTTCCCCTCAAGGTGTAAACACAAAGAGGACAACCTCAGGCTTATCTGCAAACTTCTTCTTTGTCACTCTTTTCAAGCTTTCTTCAATTCCTTTTGTAGACTTTTTAAGGATTTCTTCCGACTGGTCTACTAACACCACAGTGTGTCCTGTGGCTGCTGCAACCTGGAAGTTAAAAAAAAAAAAAAAAAGACATCTAGATATTAAAACAATTGCATTAATTTCTGAATTTCTGTTGAGGTAGACACTAGAAGAAGGCAGAAAAGCACTGAAGGAAATTAGACTGATGTAAATATTTGGCACTCAAAGTAATGTTTCCACTATTTTAAACTGCACACCTTAGGGACTTACATTCTGCAAACTTTCACTTTACATTTAAATTGCACCTAGTGACTAAAGATTCATGGTGTCTATGAGACCAATTACAAAAAAAAGTTAGCTGAGATTAAATCAGAATAGAAAACTGCCTCCTGAAGACAACCTGTCACCATTCTTGCCCAAGTTTCCCCCCTGGTGTTACAATCATCACTGGTTTAAGATGACTCTAGATAGATAAATCAGAGGTAGAGATCAGCAAATTAAACCCTTCTCTTCGGCWGCGGTAGCATACTGCAACCCTAGTTCAGATAGTGCTAAATATTACATTAACATTTTTGACAAGTTGCACTCTAAAAGAAAATCAAAACCAAMAAAAACAATAAAAAGGGGGGGGGGGGCAATCTAACAGAATATGCAGATTAACTTATTTTCCCTACAGGGTTATAACATTTAAACACTGCCTATGTTTCTCCAACATGAGAGCAACAACCTTTTGTAACAAGGCTAATTCTGAAGGTTCCTTTAGTGGAAATCTCAAGTTCTAGTGTCAAAGTACAGAGAAGTGTTTTTACCAGAGAAGTTAATAAACAACTAATTCCATAAGGAGATGGGAAAAAACATCCACTCCTTCTAGAGATTTGCCAGAAGCATGAAAAATCTTCATTGCTGAGAAGGAAAACCATTAACTCACTCATTAAAAGAGGACAGTGCTATTTACAAACTCAGATTTTTCTATCTCGTGGTCAGACCCATGTTCCAGCAGGTCCGTCTCTCCAGGGGAACTGCAGAACAGGACTGTTAGTCACAGTGCTGGGCATCCCCCCGCTCCAGGGCAAGAACTGCCATTAGCTCCCAACTCAAGTACATTCTTGTAGTACAAGTACATGTGCTATGCAATAATTTTCATACAAATCACAATGTATTCAATTATGAGATTTTTAAAGTAATTTTGGGTTGCTTTCCTGCAACTAGCTCTAAGACAGCAAACTTGCACAGCTCTTTTCAAGACTGAGGCCCTCCAATTACTGGAATTAAGGAGAAACACACTAGTCTTTGTAACCCTTGCCTCACACACATAATGTTTTATCTGCAACAGGTGCTTCCTTAGTTTGCCTTTGCTGATCAGCAGCACCAAGAGGCAGCGCTTCAAGGGCTGGGAGAACACGACTGGTATGTGACAGCAAGGCCAAGACAGTGGCTCATGCACAGCACGTGATGCTTCACAACCCGTCCCAAGCACAGAGCTGTTGCTCCACTTCTATGCCCCCTTTCTCCTATCTGTGCAGACAGGCCTCACGTCTTAAATCCCATCTGGATTCAACGTTAACTGGAAAAGGCACAGGGGAGGAGAAAAGAGGTGAGAACTATGCAAGAAGGCACAGGCAGTGGCGACAGTGGTTTCTTGCGCTGTCCTGAACGGAGATGAAAACTTTGGTGATCAAGCCCTATCCTTGTGAACTACAGCCCAATGCTGCACATGTGTAAAGCCCCCAAAGCCACGACAAATGTAGGCAATCAAGAGTCAGGAAAGGCATTCAGTTAGTGTGCAACTAACTGCCTGGATCATGCATTGCAACCCGGGACCAAGCGGCGACGTGCGGAAACCTGTCCCGAGTCCTCACCTCAGACCCGCCACCGCAGAAACCCCTTAAGGAAAAAAAAAGAAAAAAGGAAAAGCAAGAGGAAAAAAACGCGGCCTCGGCCAGGCAAAGCCCGCAGCCCCGCGCAGGGCGTTCGGCACGCGCCGGCTAACGGCCGCCCAACGGCCGCCTAACGGCCGCCCAACGGCCGCCATGGCGCCCTCCGCGCGCACCGCCGCGGCCGCGCCTGGGCCGCGCTCACCTGGGCGATGCCGGCGCCCATGAGGCCGCCGCCGATGACGGTGACGTGCTTGACCACCAGCTTCTTGGCGGCCGCCGTGGCGGCGGCGGCGGAGGCGGCGCGCACGAAGCGGCGGGTGGCGAAGGCCATGGCGCGCGGGGCGACCGGAGCCGAGCGGAACCGAGCGGGGCG